AGAGCGGTTTTAGTCTATCAGAAGAGAGCACTATGAGTAAATTTGGCATTGCTATACCAGTTACTATTGAGGCTACATAGGAGCAAATTGAGACTACGGGAAAAAAAATACATCTGCAGGAAAAGTATCTCCTTATGCACAGCAGACAATTCCAGATGTGTGCATTTCAATAAAAAGACAAAATGGAATGCAATCACATTGCAATGTCATTATCAAAGTGGTTTCAATAAGGCTACTTGTCTGTCCTTTTTAAACGTCACATACATATAGTATGGTAGCACAAAACTTTAAATCCTATTTATGCTAATCACGCTTGCAGGAGCAGTCCTGCTGGCAAAACTTCTGGGCATAGAGACAGTGCATAATGATAAAGGAGGACTCTGGCTGGTACAGCTTGTACCTCCCTGGAGCAAAGCAAACTACTGGAGAAAAAGCACTTTTCTGCTGGTATAACTGTGCCTCAGCCCATTTTTTGGAAATGGGCTGGAAATACTGGTCGAAAATGTAAAAGATCTCTTTCATAACTAGTATTACAAATATATTGTGGACTTTACCCTTGTTTATTTAGTGAAATAAATTTATTGGAATCTAATTTTCACTTACAGCAAAGCCACTCAGGGAGCAAGAAAGAGGCTCTAAAATTTGTGTGAGCATGCATCCATGTTAAACCTCTTTATGCTGCCAGAGTGATGTAAAGGGACCTCAGGCTGGGGAAGAGCCACCCTGCAGTGTCAGCATCCTTCATTTTCCTTTTCAAATATTAATTTACTATTGCTTGTGAAAAGCCATGGCAGGAAATCACCAAAAAGAAAAAAAAAAGAAACACAAAAGAGGAAAGTATTTAACCTCCAGGGGGCATATGGGAGTTGTGGGAAGAACACTTCACGAGGATGCAAAAGAGGTTGCACCACGAGAAACCAAGTGTTCTGTATGAGAGATATGGCAGGGTCCGGGAGGTGACTTAGCACTGCACAGTAAATTTAAAGCAGTGAACTGATGACACAAAGGATAGGAGAAACTGGTGTGGAGGAGGAAGATAACATCTTCAGGAGGCTTGATTAAGAAAACAAGGTTCATACAGGGTCTCAAAAGAAACAAAGAACAAAACTGAATGTTGGCTGAGGAAATAAAAGTGAAAGAGAAGCTCAAAGCCCTGCCGACCCAGCTGAACAGCTGGGTGACATGCTACAGCTAGGAGGGAACCAACAAGCCTTATGGAACCCATCCATACGCTATTCCTGCTTTTTAAGTAACTTATTTGACACAGTGAAGGCCCCAATTCAGAATGATTTAGTGTTTGCAACTAAACTCGGTGAGAATAATGAGACAGAGCCTTCAACCGCCATAATTCCTAGCTCAGTGTATTAATTATCACTGGCATTTTCTGTTAACATGTTACTCAGAAAAAACCCTACACCTGCTCAGCCCTCCCTGCTTCCTGCTTTTTAAGTAACTTATTTGACACAGTGAAGGCCCCAATTCAGAATGATTTAGTGTTTGCAACTAAACTCGGTGAGAATAATGAGACAGAGCCTTCAACCGCCATAATTCCTAGCTCAGTGTATTAATTATCACTGGCATTTTCTGTTAACATGTTACTCAGAAAAAACCCTACACCTGCTCAGCCCTCCCTGCTGCAGGTAGCGGCAGAACTTCCAGTTGGAAACACCTTAAACTGCTCTCCAAGTCCACAGGGTCCCGGGGCAGAGCCCGAGGCATTTGCAGCCCAGGGCACAGGGGCACAAGGTTGCGGTCTTTTTTAAGTGACCTCAGCAACAGGGCTTTCATTCCTTCTGCCCGAAGACTAATTCATAGTCTAAATGTGTTCACTGTGAGAAAGCTTTTTCTCATGTGCAACACATTATCATTAATAACTCAGTGACATGCATGCCCTTCCTCACTCTACTTCCCTGTCTTCTCACTGGTTGCATGGAAGAGGTTTACTTATTCTGCTTCACTTTTGGGTGAAATCATGATCCCGTTAAATATAATACGTTTTGCTGCCTACAGTAAGAGCTGAAGTTTAACACTGAAGTCTCCGCTTGCTGAAGCTGAGCTGTAACCAGTAAATACAGAGCACTCCCTAGTCACTGTTTACCTAAACTAAACTAAATGGCTAAGAGAGTGCTTGCTCCTGTCTTTTGCAGGCAAGAAAAAGCTCTGTAATAGGAGAATAGGTAGCATAGCTATTAGCAGATTGGCAAATGCTAGTATAGGCAGAGCTGCCTGTAATTTTCACATATTAATTAGGTGAGTAAAGCACTAAAATCTTGGCTAACATATTAAAGCTACAGCTCCCTTTGCATATAAGAATATATCACATTAACAACCATATTAGGATCTTCCTTATTTTATATGTACTTTAAGTGGTTTAGGGGTATAGGTTGCTTTTTTAAAGGTCTTTATTTAGACAGTAATTCTGTTCTTTCCTCTTCTTGTTACTTTTCTTGCTATTAGCCTGGTTTCCTCAGGAAACGGTCTATGAAATATTACTGTTTCTCTGTTAATCTCTCCACCCCTCAGACCAATTTTTGTTTCTCTCATCCAATATTACCAAATGCCTGAGGTCCAGTCCATGTCCTAGAATTTTAATAGAAAACATTGGATGAATAGTGGGGAGAGCATATTGATGTTAATGCTGAGGACAAGACAGGGAGGAAAGCTCAGCCTTCAGCTGAGCCATTTAGCACTGCCTGACTGGACAACCATGAGTATGAGGCAACCAGTCAACACTTCTATTGCTCTGAACCAGCCACCCCATGTGCTGCTTCTTGCCCAGCTGTTGGCATGGGGGGAGGAGAGAAAAAGAGACAGGCAAACAGACAGACATGAGGGAATCTAAAAATAACATAGAAAGAAGGTGCAGCAAATGTGTGAGAAAACTGAAAGAAGCAAGACCAAGACCTTGATGTAGTGACCGGGACCTGGAAATAATTGAAAGTACTACTGGGAAATGTGGAGATATTATGTAAGATTTAGGTAAGGCTATGGATTTAGGAAACATAGGAGATGGTAGGAAACAAGGTCCATTAGTTCAGCTGTTCATGAACAACTTGTCTGTTCTCCCTTCCATGCTCTGTTGTGGATATATTTGACTTACATCAGGCTTAAGAAGTACACATGGGCTGAAGTGTTGTCTACAAAACCTTAATCTGCAGAGATCACTGTCAGGCAAGTTTCACATACCTCCAGCGGTATCTTTAAAAGTGAAATCAACACTCTTCTGTTAATTGAGATGTAACTGAGTATGTAACAATACATTAGGATGTTACTTATTACAGATTGTTTTAATGTGCTGAACTCCATGTCTCTTTCTAAAAACTACCAGTCTGTTAAAGAAAAAGCCTAAATGTTTAACATTGCCCACAGAGCTAAAGTTCAAAGATGAATCATAAATTCAATGTGGTCTATTGAAAGGCGAACTGTCTACAATTTCACAGAACAACTAACTCCTTTCTCTGGAGGAGATGACAGCTGCAGGGCTCTTGATGATTCCCAAGGAGGACAAACATGTCTGGGGTCTCTGTTTCAGCAGCTAAGTGCGGAAGCCTTCAAATAGCACCTATTTCACTGCACTGCCTCCAAGGCATTTATGCAACACGTGTTGCCAATATGGTATTTAAGTCACATGATAACAACTCTGTTGGCTAAAACTTCACCCTGCTCCTAAGGAGAAGCTGACTGCAAACTATTCATGCAATGAAGGGGGTGTCTGCCTTGCAGATCTTCATGACTGTGCAGTACACTTTCTTAGCAATAATAGGTTGGAAAGAATCACTGGGGTCTGCTCCAGGTTCTGCAGATGTAGAAGCCTGTTTCACTTCCATATTTGTGCCAGTGTTGTCTGAGGTGCCTGGACACACCTGTGCAGAAGCATCAGTTCCCAGATCCAAAAGTAATGGCCACATGAAGCACTAGTTTGAGACAGTAGTAAGATAATTCTGTATGGTTTCCTCTCCACAAAAAGGGAAAACAAATTTCATGTATCACTGCTTCAGAACTTTATTGCAACCAAGCGGAAAACACTTGGAACACAGTACATGAAAACCACATTGGAATGCCACGATTTTTGGGTGGAAGACACTGTACCTGTCCTGCTAGGTCAAGGTACTCTTACTGATGAACAGCCGTATGTGTATGAGGGACAGGGAAGGAGGAGGATGGAGTAATATGCAGTGTAACAAGATTGCCGCATACTGAAAATTGATGAAGTCCCTGGTAAATTTATGTTCTGATGAAATAATTTCAGAATATTTACACCTTACAATTTACAGAAGTTTTTAGCAGCAGCAAAAGTAGCATCATGTAAATTTTACCCACATTCCAAATGTGTTAGCCTGCATGAAATCTGTTTCTTGTTCTCACTATTCCTAAATTACATGTTGCCACTATACTTACCACTTGGTAACAATAATATGTACAACGAACAATTTCATTCACACTTATGCAGTGTATTTAAACAGAAACCTAACACAGAATCAACTGAGCCATGCAGGTCTTTAAGACACAACAAACATAGTAATGTTACAACATGATACATTTTACTTGCCTTGCTAAACTGCCTACATAAAGATGCACTATAGAAAATGACACCTCATTAAATACATTCTTCTCCTTCACCTACTCTTTACACAGGCACTTACCCTAGGAACATTTTTCCTTCTTTGAATACCCAGCACTTCTATAGAACAAATGTTGCAAACACTAGAAGAGAATAGCTTGCAGGACAATCAGCTTCAGATTCATGCTTGCAAGCATTTCAAAAACAGTGGCAAACTCTACACTTTGTTTTTTTCACAGACTACAACCTTTAAAGGCCTGTGACACATTCTATAGTAAAATTTCAGTTTTAAATAAAAAATTAAAAATAGAAAAATATCATCCTATTTTTCACTGAGAGGAAAACATCACGTGACAAGCAAATCCAAAATAAGAACTTTATGTAGCATCCTAGCCAGCCATTAACGTCTGCTAGTGATGTATAGCATAAGAGCTTTGCTGCTCACATCTGGAGAATGCACAGCTGCATCTGTGCTAAGAGTGTGTCTCCACTGTGAGTTTGGAGACAACCACAGTGGCTCTTACTAGAACTGGAGTGGAAAGCAGAAACACAAGGAATCACAGTGCAAAGATAACTTGGCAGCCTGCATCTGCAATGCCACACAAATGCCATCAGACACTTTCTGGACTTTCATATCTGAAGGCATTGTACTCCACTATGTGTATTTGCCAGTGTGGGCTGATATCGTTAATTCAGGGATCTCCATACCATGCTTACAAGAATGGCATAGACAGGACCCAGAATTAAATGATTGATATTTTACCCTTCTATTTTTTAAAAAATATGTATTTGTTAAAGCAGTGCAGGTCACAATGCAGATGTGTTTACACTGGCTTGTATTCACTTCCCAGCTGCCAATATTGTATACCACGTCACTGTCAGCTAGTCTGGGGGCCGAAGTCATAAAAAAAATTTAGCCTATTCTGGAGCCGAGTCATGATTAGAAACTATTCCAACCTTCTAAATACTTAATAAGTTAGCATTTGTCCAATAACTTGAATGCATAAGAGATTCCATTCATATACCTCTATCTCTTAATGGTAAATAATGATTTAATTCTTTTCAATAATCCAAACTCACCTGAAACAGGTGAGAGCTCAAGGCATCTTACTGCTGTTAGACTCACCTTCCCAAAGCTGGCAGCATTAACAGGTTGTGTGTCGTTTTTCTCACAGAAGTCCAAGTAATGCATGTAGAGAGCGCTTCGAGGAATGCAAACACCTTCTGCAATCTCATAGTTCTCCTCCAGCCTTAAAAAGCAAATATCAAACAGAGAGAACTGCAAGTATGTTGGATGTCCTGTATCGTAAACAGTATGCAAAGCTGCATCTTTAAGACCAAACATTCTGGTTTCTGCTTGTCTACTGAATTTTCTCTGCTTTGTTCCTAAGTGAGTGCTCCTTCCAATTCACTTCCATAATGCTTACTTGTTTCATTTGGTTCATGCTTGCTATCAAAAACATAGGCTGTGAGTTCCCAGGCAGGCAGAGATTAGCACAAAAGGATGTTGGGTTTTGACCATGCTCCAAAAGTGCTATTTTTAGGAAAAAATATACTAGCAATCTGTTATACCCTAAACGCATCCTGCAGTAAACAAATACATGTACAACTACGAAACAACAAACATTCACTGAGGGCAAGCATTCTCTCATTCTTTACAGAACTCTGTCCAGCCACAAAATTCCATACCGGAGGAAGCAGATGTACAAGTTGTTTGCAAATACTCAAGAGTGTGCACAAAATCATATCTATATAATGTTTTATTGCTATTTTTTATGGACAAAGTGAAAAAAAGAGTCCATGATCTGAATACAGTGCTGAATAAAAATAGTGAAATAACCTCCTCCTCTGCCTTGTAGAAACTATTATTATTTATTTACACATGCGAACACACAACTATAAATATTAAATTATGCATCAAATATATGAATAGGCATATGATTCTTCTTTAAAATCTGAAATTGGGGTCACTATAAATCTATAACTTAGAAGAAACACTCCTTTGAAATGACATTTTTATGATTGCTGACCCAGCAAAGTTCAAAAGGTATTTACATACACACTTAACTTTAAACCAGAATGAATCTTGTCATCCATGGTGTCGCTCATATGCATATAGTTACGTGTGTGCTTGTCTGCCTTGCTGACTAGGAGAAGAAGGTAGGTGCAACTTCCTCTTAAAAATATTAGAAAATTATTACATTCTTGAAAACCTCCAGTTTTACAGTAAATAACCCGCTGTCATTTGATAGCTGTAGAACACCTTCCAAATATCTAGTTTCTCTCCTTCATTGCCTTTTTCAGGACCTACCTACCTTCCATTTAAGTTATCATGATCATTTGTGACTGCAAACTATTTTAATAAGATATCCAGCTAGATGAATGGAATCAGTTTGTATGGGCAACATCTATTCTTCCTTGGTTTCTACAGAAATATCATCATGGCATCTTTCCTCAAATTCATAGCGCTTTAACAAAACCTCCTTTCAAAACCTGGAGAGTTCGTTTGTATACTATAGCTGCTAATTGGAATGTCAGCTTCCGTGACCAAGACAGGACAGAAAGAAAAGCAGTTAATTATTTCTGTTCATATCTGATGAATTTTTCTCTTTTTCTCCTCTCTTTCACAGAGAGTCATTAGTCTGACACTGAACAATGCTCCATTATACCTGAACTTTTTTTTTAATGATCAAAAAACCCATCTTGCTCCACTTCTTTTATTTTCCTGTCTTTTATTTAACAACTTTATCATATTCTGAATTCAGCTTCATTCTACAGTATTATAGAAATATAATGAACTCAATCTTCTACCTAACAAATCATTATCAGAAATAATATATATATAACATTTTAAATGTCCTAATAAAGCCATGTGAAATCCAAAGAGTTCACAATGAGACCTTTTGTACCACTACAGTATAGCAATAAAACCCCTAATCCTTCCACAGGAATGACAATTCTATCTGTCCCTATTACTGTTTTTCTCTTTATACGTATATACTTCTAGATCAAATGAAATTATTCTATAGCAGAGTCAGGTACATAGTGCTGTTACAGACTTGTTTTTAGATATGAAAGCAACAGAACAACTGTGATGTTACCATTGCTAATCACCTGAAGGATCCTAGAACATATTAATTTTGATGCACTAGAACAATTTCTCTGGAACTACTAATCTGGGGAGAATCCATTACCTAGCAGTGCTTTACCTTCCTCTTTTTTACTTCTTTTTATGAAGGTTGCAAAAAATAGAATAGTTTTGTTGACTTTAGCTTCACAATACTGTTATTATTCAGAGCACCTACACTGTAAGCTGCCAAACTGCACAGAATTGGACTGCCTGTGCTTTGAATAATTCCGTGTTTGGAGAAGTAGACACACACATGCACACACACACCAAACTGAGGTAAAATAAAGTTTCACACTTACAATTTGGTCAACCAGTTCACCAATGAAATAATCATGAATGTTTTAGAGCTAAGTGTTTAGTAAGCTATAGGTTTACAGATAATAATGAACACAGGAACACAGGGTAAGCACAGGATACTAGGTATTGGTATATTCATGCCTTAACAGTTAAATTCAAGCTGGTGCAGTTTCCCCAATTATGATGTATTTGGCAGTAATGCCACATTTGCCAGGCCTTTCACTTCATTTTGTGTCATCAATGAAACAAAACAAAAACATCATTCCTGTTTCCAGGAAAAGGATATTTCGCCAGGCTGACAGTCATCCAGACATGCTTCTGGCATCTTCAGCTACTTCCTCCTCCTCATTTGTAGCGTTCAATGTGCTCTGCCTTTGGAGAGGCATAAGCATTAAGGACAGATCCTAATGGGATTGATGTTGTTCAGTCTTTTCAGCAAGATGCCAGACAAGAAATAACTAATAAAGGTGATGGCAATATGAACCATGTGGCAAAATGTACGTATTTCCCTCATGTCTTGCTTTCCTCCTTTTCCCTTGCTACTGACATTTCCTCTGTTTCTGTTCTCCAACACACTCTTGCCCTCATTAGCTGTAAATGACAGTAGCATCTAACAGTAGAAACATGACCAGCTTTAACTTGGGAGACACCAGACACTGCAGACAATCGTGGTGCTTCCATTTGCCAGAACAAGGCAAGTTTGGTACTTTATGGTGAAATCTGGTCAATAATTTTACCCCACCACTTCCATCACTTGAATCTGGTCCAGAGATTGCAGTAGGAGGATAGGACACATGCTTACCCAGGGTGTATTCAGGTAAATTTAGTCTTTTGCCTTTTTTCACTGTGCAAAAACTTGGTCTAAGGCCTAAGCAGGCAAAACTGTCAAACACGTAAAGCTAAACCTACAGGAAGCGCTCAGAGCAGCATTTGTACAGTGCTGACCACAATAGTTTACCAACCCACGGGTTGCTAGTACAAATAACCTGATGCTAATGTGTCTGTTTTTCCAGAACAGTGGAAACTCGACATCTTCACACAAAGCAAGCTTACTACTTTAGCACTTTAACCACAACTTTTGAGCTTGTAATTTTATTTAGTGTATCAAACCCAGTAGCACAGTTTCTCCAGGCAATACCAATTCAAAGCTGCAGTACATAGGCTGAAAGGCATATGGAAACCACCGGAAAACTATGGTATGGCTACTAAGCTGGGAAACTTTTACCTACAGGTCTATTACTAAACGAGCCAATCGTATGGTTCAGTTTGACACCAGCTAAAGAAATTAAACTTGAAAACTTCGCTTTCTGTTCCCTCATGTATTTTTCAGTGGAAAATTGAATGGAGAAAATTGCAGATGCTCCAAAAGACTCAAAGGGGAGAATATCTGACCTACATAAATGTGTAAGAAACATAACACAACAGACAGGTAGGTAGTAAGCCAGTATGCTAGCAAGGGGGAAGGGAAGATGAGGTAAGCAGCCTTTTCAGAATCAAAATTCTAGGATTCTACTGCAAACACTGCTGAATGAGCATTAGTGTGCACACTGCATTCCAGCAGGGCTCACTGTCCCAGGAGTTTAGGGATTTACTAACCTTTATGACTGAGGAAGCTTGAAAGTATTTGGCAAAAGATTGTTTACAGTATTTGCATGTTTTCTGTTGGGAACAGTATTGTCGGCATGTTCTAATTAACTCTGCCTTCTTGGCTACTACGTTATTTGCTCCTGTGGATCAGACTCTTAACTGACTCTACTGCAAAATAAACATTATTCTGAATTTGAGACTGGTAAGCCCTGCCTGCTCTTTTATTTTAGCTAGATAGTTCTTTGTTATCCTGTTTGAACTGTGTTGAAGTTGTTTGGGTGAATAATAGAAAATAATAAAATACATCTACGACATTTCACTATTATTTTAAAATTTTCTCTCTGTCTGTAGTCGCTCCCCTTCTTTATTCACTTTTCTTGAACTTCTGAAAAACAGCACTTCGGTGAAACAAATAGGTACGAAGAGGCAATAGCTCAGAACGAAATGCCTTTATTTGTATCTGCACATCTCAGTATTTGCACTGGAAGTGTCTGCAAGTTTCTTCAAGGCAGAACACTGAATACTTGCAGCAACTTATTCTAAATTAACCGACAGGTTTGGGGTTTTTTAAAAATCTACAGTTTAACTGATCAACTTTAAAGAGCAAATACAGATGAAATAATCTATAAACCTCTTTATGCATATTTCAAAGAATCACAGAATTTCACAGGCAGAGAAAAAGAGTAAAATTCACTGGATGAGTTATTCTTTGCTGTTTGTTCAGTTAGATCTCCCAAGAGACTGACAGAATCAGAAAAATAATTTTGCTAACATTTTGCTAAAACCCCACATTTTTGCCAATAATCTATCTTTTCATCCAGAAAACTATGAGAAGTACTTACAGGTGAAGTAAAGACCTTTCTTTAAAAGACTTGAAACAAGCTAAGGAGTGTGGGTTTTCAGATAAGCATGCTCCAAGGCTTCTCTGTAACAGAGCTCTGTTCTGCCGGATACAAAGAACTTCCTGAAAGATGCTTGATTGCTTACAATATTAAGAAAGCTAAACCAGAATTAAAAACCTAAATTAAGGGAAAAGTCAACAAAAGTCTAGGAGATAACCTATAGAAAGAGATGTCAGAAGTATATGTAATGTTACAGAACATGCAGCCAAAAATACCACGGTAAATCACAGTGAACAGCACTTGTTCATCGTTCGTAGCACAGTAGACTGACTCACAAACTTTCTTCTCCTCTCTTTCTCTCTTCCTCCTAATTACCCTTCCTTTTTTCCCCTCGCTAAATTTGCAAGGGGATTTTGGCAAATGAATCAAACCTCAAACTGTCTCTTTTCTTTTGTTGTCTTCTATGTTAAATTACAGAGATCTCATTTCAGTAAAACAGTCAGTAAAGGCAGGCTTCACCGTACACTGAAACAAACGTGAGTCTTGTAAAAAAAATCTCATTACTAGTTTTCTTTTTGTAATAAATATAACAAAGATGACAAATCACCAGCTGGCAAAGTGGCAAAAAAATATGCCAAGTAGATCTAAACTGTATCAGAGGTTTCCTATGTTCAAACAAATCCCGTAAGAGTAAGACATTTGTTGAGAAATGCTGTACAGGATGCTAATAAGCAGATTAAACACATACAGTGAAAGTATCTTTAGAACTGTATAAGATGTCCAACACCTCTATTCACTTCAGCTGGAAAAAGGATAAGAAAAAACACTAACAGGTTTTCTTGATTTTTTTTAAAACGGCATCTTACCATTGCAGTGTAGCTGGAGTTGAGTGTGGTTTCGATGCTCTATTATTTTCTTTTTCCTCATCTGTTAAGAAACAAAAAAATACTATGTAATCTCAGTATGAATTGCTCAGGCATTTGTAAACTGGTAAGGAATTATCCGATCAAAAATGTTCTCAGGTGTCAAACTGTTCCCAAAATATTTGCTAAATTGTGGAAATGTAAATAATGACACTCCTTAAGCTAGCATCTGTAGATGCTGCTTAAGGCAATAAAGCGTGCAAACATCACTGACAGCAGGAGCAGAGTGGGGCATAGGAATAATGACATTCGAAAGGATAAGTTTATATGAAAAAGGAAAAGCTACTCTTAGACATCTAGCAGGATGTCAGAACATAAAACCATTTTCACCTCCTTTAAGGGAACAGTTGCCTTACCCAAGTTTTATATTCGATGAGGCATTTAACCTAATGGAGGTCATCCACTGTTGTGATCCTAACATATGACATATACTAGGTGTTTACAAATTTACAAAGATTAATTCTGAACAAGAAAAATTGAAAGTAAAAACATTCTATAATATACTTTAATTCTTTTCAGATAATTTTTCTGATAGTATTCCTCATTAACTGTTTCCAAGGTAACTCTCTGGTTTGCTGACTTTCCAAAAATGTGGATAAAAGATGGATAAAGAAAAAGAGAACGAAAACAAGACTGGTTTAAAATACTGGATTTTTCCCAGTTCACATTAGCTCTTTAAAAAAATTTAAAAGTATGTCTAGAATAATTCTTATTAAATTGTGATTTGTGAAGCATATAAAACGTTCCTAAGTGAAAGCTAAGGGTGAAGCACAACCAGTGTCTCCAGAAGGGTATTCTTTGGGAAACACCATTGTATCAAACACAGTTTGATATTTTAACAACTTTGTGCCTGATGAAAGCATTAAGTGTAGCAGGCTTTGATACCTAAACAATGAGGTAAACCACTGTGCCTGTACACCATGCAAGTTTCATTTGTTCATACAATTAACTTTTAGAAGTTATTTAAGTGAGCCTTTAGGATGCTGAATCTTAAGGGAGCCGGGCTATCTCCTCTGAACATCGGACCCCATTGGGAGGCCTCTTGCGCAGTCCCAAGAACCGGCGCACACAAATAAAACCCCACTTCGGAAAACGCTGTCTTCAGCCCTCGCACCACAATATTTCTTCCGTTGCATATAGGGCAAGTTGTGTTAACCAAACCTCCTTTAGCCTGCGAGGCCGGTCCCCTGAACATCAGGAAAACCCAGATTTACAGTTACCGGCAGACACTGCGAGCAGCCCCTCTTCTGCATCTGCATGACAATAGGCCTCTAATTATTGGACCGCACACTCCTTCCCTGCCTTTCAGGGGCCTGCTTTTATTCAGCGCATAGGACCAACATACACATTTCAAATCACTTTTAAATTGTGTTTTTCATTTGTTTTTCCTAAACAAACGGTCGGCATGCAACAAACCTTCGGCACACAGGCCTTGAATGCTGAGCGGCCGTGGCTGGCGCCGGCCCCGCTGACGCTCAACAACAGCCCCCGGCCTCACTGGCGGCGGGACAAACGCCGCCTTCTCCGTAGTGGGAGGCAGAGCTCTGCAGCACGGATTTAAACCACTGGGTGGATAAAATAGTCAGGGCCGTCGCCTCTCACAGCACCCACTGGTTTGCCCTTCCTACCCTTAACTGGCAGCACAGACACCCTAAGAGCGCGCCTGACTCCGGCCTTCCCCGGGGAGAAGAGGGCGGCCATGTCTGCCCTGCTCTGAGGCGGGAAGAGACTCCTGGGTTGGGATTCATGGGTTTTAAGGTGATGGGACAAGGGAGCCCACCTCGGAGGTGGGAGAGCGCCTGCTGGGAGGGCGAGTGAGCCCCTGCAGGGACAGCCTTGTGGTTGCCCTGGAGGGGCAAGAGGCAGGCGGCCTGACCAGAGCCCGGTCCAGTCCTGTGTCCTGCTGTGGCTTCCCCATTGTCCCAGCCAAAGCAAAAAGAGGCAGCAGGGCTGAGAGGGAGTTATGGCAGCTCCCCGGGCGTGGGGCACAGAGGCTGCTGCAGCTTCCTTCACCCACGAGCGTGCTGGCCTAGCCTGCCAAGGCCCCGTGGGTGCCCAGCGGCCAGTGGCCTCCCAACCATTCCTGAGGTAAAAGTGAGAGGGGACTAGTTATAAACAGCACGTCTCAGCAAAGTGTTGCAGGGGGTAAAGTGCCAGCTGGGGCGGGGAGTTTTCCCCTGCTTTAGTAATGAAAATTACAGCTGGCAGGCACGGGGGTGCGCAGGCCTTGCCAACAGGGACCCGCCACACAGGGCACTGCGGCGCCGTTCTGCCGACCGCGGGGATTCGGGCCTTTGCCGTTGCGGGGAGGGAGACGCCACAGCGAGGTACAACCACCAAAGCTGCTGCCTTCAGGTATCAGCAGCATGTGGGGGCCCAGTCCTCCTCCTGCACCCCACTGTCGTCTTCTTCAAATTAAGGTTACTGCTCCCCAGGTGAAAGTCATCCATTTTCTTAATCAGTATTTTCTACGTCAGTGTCAAAGCCTACCATCCAGTGGTTTATGTTCAGTATACAGTTCGTTTCTGCCTTGCTGGAAATTGCAAATTGGAAAGGCTGAAAGCCACTGATCTAAATAACCCCTCATCTAATTAAGGTGCACAAATCCTAAACCTTTGCCTGTGAAACCAAGAGGTACTATTCCCCCCTCCTCAGAATAAAACTTTTTATTATCTTTCTTGATTTAAAGGGGCTAGTATTCAAAGGTCTGTTATTCAGTGACTTCCACTTGTGCTATCTAGTCTTAATTTTCCCCTGGATATGTGGCACTCTATCAGACATCAAGCCAATATCTAAATTACACAATATTAGAGTCTTTACATCCCCTCCATCCCTCCCCCAGCTGTTTTTCATTCACATTAATATGAGCACCTGTGAGCAGGTGCTTTACCTAACCTGCCCTCAGACATGCTACAAGCCAGCCATACTCAGCTCCTCCCATGTAAGGATTTGTTTTAACAACACAAACTAACAATAAGATCACAGACTACAATTTAAATCTCCCTCCTCAGGTATGTCTGCTTCCTGGGGATCCTTCTTCAAGACTCTTCAGCATCATCCACTAACTGTCCCTTAAAACCAAGAAGGAGAAAGATGGACTTTGAACTTATTAAAAAAAATTCTTTAAGCACCATTTTCCATCAAAATATTACCCATTGAACAATGGGATTTTCAACAAAGCTACATTTTTCACAGAGTTAGTGCTTGTCTCCCCCAAAATCAAGTCTCTGTACAAGAAAACAGAACTTCTTTTTGTTGTGTGTGGGGTTTTTTTGCCAATGGACCAAATGTCAGCCAAAATGTTTCTCATTTTCACCAGGTGCTGCCTAAATATTTATTTTCAGAAAACTTTCACTTTTTTATGAAATAGATGGAAAGAATTGCAGATGGTGTAGGAATGGAGGAGACCTAGAAATACAAACTTTCAGTATTACATATACCAGCACTTCATTCTATCTTGTATAGTTTAACAATATAATCTGATCAGATAATTGACTAGCAGAAAATAATAAATATCCCTATTCCTTATATTTTAGTTGGTAGCAGGGTACTTAATGGCTTCCCTATTGAGCAGGGAATGTTTTGTGTAACTCTTGACTCAGCTCTGATCCCAGATCTGTTTGTACAGCACGAAAGAGGTAAAGAATGCTGTTTTCCCTTACTTTTTGTCCTGTCATTTTATCAGTGCCCATCAGAACAACACTGTAGATTAAAAATGAACCCATATCTTCTAAAATTCAATACTTTTAAAACCCAATCTAGTCTGTAAAGAAAGGAAATAAAGACACTGAAAAGAAATCTTGCTTCAAGGCACTGCCAAAGAAGAGAACTGGCAATTCTTCTGTGACAAATGCAAAAGGACTTGAAGTCATGAGGAAAAACGCTGCTCCTGATGCACAGCTGCAGGGGTTCATACATATGGCAGTTGTACAGCACCTCAGGGAGAAATGTTTGCTAGGAGCAGATCTAACGTGTTCACTCCACCACCAGTAGGAAGACTACCAGCATTCCAAGGAAAGGTATCTTCAAGGCACCTGGTTAGGTGGGAAACCTGGTACTCATCCCAAGCTGAAAGCAGGTAATAGCTTAGACAGTTGTAAGTAAAACTCAGCACGGAAGAGGCCTGCAAAGATATTCAAACTAGAAAAATAATACTTCTTGGCTCCCAGAGATATCAGAGAATCTTTTTCTTCCCAAACTCTATGGAAGTTTCTTTGCTAACAGCTCCATCTTTCTCCTTTCAAAATTCTGTTTCAAAGCCACCAGAGTAGAGTTCTGTTTGTACCTTGTGCATATGTTTGTGGCTTTCCCTGAACTCTCAGTAGTACCCTCTAACTCTGCTGTTTCATTTTAGGTACAGCTCGAGGGATTTCTTGCTTCTTGGAGCAAGATATGGAGACAATAGGAGCTATGCTCCGCACCTCTTTAAGCATGCTGCCTGAAACACAGTAAGCGGAACATTCACATAGTGAAGACCCTGCATTAGCACACCTTTTTCTAAAATGTTGATGTTAGCCTGTTTGTCGTAACTAAAGTGGAGTTAAAGCTCTGCTTTCCACTGCGGACATAATAGAAGAGTCCTGTACTTTCCAGTGCTGCCTCTGTGTGTCTCAGAGAACCTCTGAGGAGCTAATGTGTTATTAGTAGCTTTATATAGATAACATCCTTCCCTTTGTTCAGGTAGCTCCACACCTTTCAGAGAAATGGCCTCTTCCTCTGTAGCCCCTGCAATCCAGGTTTTGACTGTTCTCAAAAGTGATTTGCCCTTAGCTAAAATTAAGTGATAGTAAGAAGCTACCTTGTCTCTTACTTACATGTAGCCATAAATAAGATTCAGGCTCATTAGCATGTATTCCATGCTTTTAAAATAGCGGGATTTTTTAAAAACCTCTGAGAAACATGGGAGCATAGTTCTAATTGAGTAGGTATGATTGAAACAGGGAGGAATTTTCCACAAGGAAAATGCCAATGAAATCATGTAGCTTTTTTTAAAACTTTTTTTTTCATTGGAAGAATAAGAGGTTTAGTTCAAACAAAATAAGAAACTATTGGATAAATCTTCCATTTCAGCCAGTTTGAACACAGATTTAGAACACTGCTTTTGAATTGAAAAAGTAGTCTGAATCTTTTCTTTTATCTCAGATGAACTGTCTACACATTCACATTTCTAAATATGTAAAAAAATTTGGACAAGTGACCCTTCCACTTCATCATGTAATGTCATGACTCCTTCCCCAGGGAACTGAAGTTGAAACTTTCATAATCCTTGAATTGTATTCTTCTAGACCCCTATTTCAATTTGGAGAATCTGGCTCAGTGCGAAGTACACAGAAAATGTTGTGGGTTTTTTTTTTTCAGTTATTAGAGATGAGGTTGTACCATTCCCTTTTCCTGTGGATCTTTTGACTAACATGTAGAGCGTGGAAGTGGTGGAAGGAAAAATGTTTAAAAAACTGGAAACGGAAATAAAATTTACCTAGAATTTTTATATTAGAGTGTAAAAGCTGTGTTTTAGAAGAGGTCATAAAAGGTTCCAAGAGGGTAAGAAGCGCCCCAAGAAGCAGCGAGACCATGGGAATCCACAGCTGTGAGTCATTGCTTCCCTTCACAATGTAATGCAGGTTCAAGAGGCCTGGAGGTGTCTGGATGAGAAGAGAAGATTGCAAAGGACCCCTGGGGCCTGGGGCCTGAAATATGGTTCTGTAGCATACTTGAACTATAGAAAAAGAGACCAGTAAAACTATTACTCTTGTGTCCTGAAACCCTATGAACTCTAAAAACATCCAGGAAAAAATAGTTACAAGAGCAAGCATGATACTGAGCAAGAACATTACCAGTTTACAGTGCAAATTCTCATAGTCTTCACTGGATGCAAGGCCCCCAAAAAAACCCCAACACCAAAGCCACATTTTCTCTGGTAGAGTCCAGCCAACAGCTACCTAATGTATTTAGAGACAAAAAAAATAAGTAGTCAAGAGAAAGGTGGATGATGCCTTCTTTTGGCTGCAGATGAAAACTGGAGACAACAGCAATTTGACCACTGTTCTGAAGATTTCAAATAGGGTTACATAGGTTTTCTCAAAACATTTTGCCTCCTGCTGGTTGTAATTGTATGACAGAGGCTGGACAAAGAGTGACACGATGGTTTGGAAATTTCTTGGTTGGTGTGCGGGCACTACTAGAGAAATGTTAGAAAGAACTCAAGGGCTGGAAAGGAGCACATAGTACAATGATTTCTAAGGTGAAACTTCAGTTTGTTCTGGATTTCACAGATTATTGGTCTTCTTGCTGCTGGGCAAGTGGCTTATTTTTCTTTCCTACTCCTTCCTCTTCACCTTCTCCCCTCCCCCTCACCCCCCAAAACAAGGATGACTTTTTAAGTGGATTAGTTCTCTTATCTGCACTGCAGAAATGCTGGTATCTGTGCAAAGGAAGCATCTGGAAGAACTGGCTATTAAGAAGGAAGCTAGATGAAACCAACTTTCACTCTCATTTGGGTTTCATTTTATACTGTGACAATGTCTTCTTGCACACAAATTGTGGAATAAATTCATTTATATATTTGTTTTATCAGTTCTAAATTTGCCGCCTTTCGTTATCATCTCCTGCCCCTTAATTCCAGTACCAGAAAACAGAACGAGCAACCATCCTATCTTCTCAATGCCATCGTCTGAAATACCTGCTCTTGTGAACCCACACAGGTCTACTTCTTACTGTCCCTAGGTATGTGGAAGTTTTCTCATGCTCATATTTAAACTGAAAGCACACGTAACAAAATACCACTGGTTTTGCTACAACCTGTTTAGGTTAACAGATCTAGAACGGAACATAGAAGGACACTTATAATTATGACATAATTTTTTTTAATATAGTTAGTGGTGCTCAGTAATTCCCCTGACAATACTGTCTTGAACTGCGAGTCTGAGGAAAACTCACTAAAGTCAATAGGGTTCAATCCTGAATTCTGAACCTATTAAGAGTCTGAAGTCATATCTCATTCGTTACAAATTCTTTCCATCACTTTCTCAGTAGCATCAGAGTGAAATGAATTTCGTAAGTCTCACAGGTTCTTGTAAAATGTAAATTAACAAGCAGATGTTTTTTGTTTTTCACTACAATTCACTGCAATTTTATTTTTAAAGAGAAACTAATTTCTAATTCCTTAATTTTTAAAAAACAAAAACCCCAAACCTGTCCAAGTTTTATTGTCTGTCTTTAAGGATTCTTATCCACTGTCCCTAGCTTGGAAGTCATGAATAAATACCATGTTTGTAACACCTTCTTTGTCCTTCAGAAGAGATATTGCCTCAAAAGAGAACCCTGGACAAACAGGAGTAGGGTCCCATATAGCAAATTCTGTGATCCACTAAAACACTGTGCTGCAAGGCATGTAATTTTACTGACATCAAAATAAAGTAGTTCCCTTAAAATGCAAAAAATGTAAAAGGGACATTCAGCAATTAAGAAGTGATTAAAAATACATTTTCTAAACTTATGTGCTTGAATATTATAAAAATGTGAGTCTTTCTGAATTAAAGAGTTCAGTCTGCATTAATATCCTGTAACATGATCTAACATATGAAATACAGAGAGGAAAACTAACGTGAAGAGTATTTTGCTTTAGGCGAATTAAGTAGAACAGAAATTGCATAAACAGGGAAAACTAAATGATAAACTAAAAATTGTCTTACAATTTTAAAAAGAAACAATTAGGTTATTTTAAGGTATTCTGAGGTCTTTTAGTTACCTGCTGTTGTTAAAAATCAAGATCTAAAATTACCATAACTAGAAGAGATAAGAAAAAATAGCTATTTTAGAATCAGCTAATTTATAATTGTCCCACGTCTATGACTAAATATGAAGCAACATCATGATTTAATATGTGATTTTTTTAAATCTGATGATTGTTTAATTCTTAAAATAAAGATTTTGTATGCATGATTTGATACAGTAGTATTGAAAAACAGCACAATTTTTTCCTGTATTTCAACTGCATGGTGTTCACGAGTGAAAAGCAAAACAGATGGTTTTACTCATGAGCTAACACTAACAGCACATTTTAGAGGTCATCCAACCTTTACTCAGTGACACACAAATTCTTCTGGGTGTTTTAACTATTAGATAGTATTACTTCCTTTTAAATAATGCAAAATAGCAAATATTCCAGAAAAAAAAAAATTAATAAAGCTATTGGATGTATCAAGTGGGTTGACTCTTCAAACTACGGAGTACTAAAAATATCACCAAGATGTAGCAACATATAGCAGGAAATTAACACTTGGACATGTTCACTCTCATTTTAAATAAATGACAAGTTACTTACTTTCATCGTTAGAAACATTCCCCAGAGAGGTGTGACTGGAATAACGTTTGTTTTCACTTTCATTGAGACATCGTTCAATCCAACTCTCTGCAAAAGAACAAAGATACTCTTTTTTCGTGTTTGTCTTTGCATAAAAAATAAACTTCCGACATATAAAACTAAATAAAGCACCGGTTTTCAACAGATCGTGTTCTGTAGCATTTCTGTTAAAACATGGTTAGACTGAGGTTATTTAGCAAGAAAATCCTTTCTTGCTTTCAAACTCAGCTGTTGCTTTTTAGTTTCAATTTTTGTTTGTTTGTTTTCAAATGACAGAGGCTGAAACACTTCCATGCACATAACAAAACTCCTCAGGATATTCTCTCCCCTCCCCATCACATGAGACATTAAAAAACCTCATTATCTCGTGGGCAACTGAAACACATAAATTGCATTAATTTCTAAGTTTTTGTCTGGCAAAGACTTAGGTACTCAAGCATTTCCACTGGTTTTCCACTGGAAAGAACTCTTCATGTGTGTAAAATCAATCATTCATGTGAATTTTTGTTACAGAGGGGCTCAAACTGTGCTCTCTGAAGTCCAGCCCTATGACCCCATTCACCCTGGTGGAGTCCCAGGCCCTACCGAGATCTTTTCCAGGCTGGTACGGGTCCAACGTAGCGAGTCAGCAGCCTCTCAGCTACTCGAACCTTGTCACTCCACGATGGGTACTCAACCACTCCTGTCCTCCCTCTTTCTCACTTCCAATTTATTCCCGCCAGTCAGGTGAGGTACAGCACTACACTGATTTGACTCCGCTGTTCCTCTTTCTGGAAGCTATAACATACATCCCCTGATGACTTTAGAGGATGCACCAGGCTCAGCGGAATTTACTGTTACAGGTCTTCAGGGCAAAAGTTGCACCTTCCTATGTGTTTCCTTGGACAAAGTATGAAATATGAGTCTTTGAGTTTGCCTGAAGTCCCAGGATATTGCTACAATAAACTGACCTCCCTCATAAGATTATTTTTCAAGGGCACGCGGGCAGAAATGAACCTATGCTCACAGAGCTCCCTGTGGTCAAAGCAAGAAAAAGAAGGGATAGGTGGGAAGGCTGCAAGGTAACCCCACAAGTTACGACAGGAAACAGCCCCACTGAGCGAAGAGATGCACAAGAAATAAGGGGAAACAGGCCTCGCTGTCAGCAAACCGCCAGAGCCAGAAACACCTTCAAAGACACGGAAATGGCTGCAGATTCCTTTCCATAAGCCACCCCCAGACACGTCGGGCTACCAGCACAGCGCAGGCAGCAGCCTGCCGGCCAGAGAAAGCCCATCACAGCAGCAGGCTTGACGGGAGAGCAGAAGCCCAGTGTCCTGGGAAAGCTGCCCATCTGGTTTAGAGAAGGTAAAAAGTTGGTATGACTTCATTTCAGCACTAGAGGCCAATAAATAAATATATGAATAGTCATGGCCAAACACATCCTGCAGGAAAAGTGCTTTTTAAACCCAGACAGTTGCACAAACTCGTGTATGCTCCTCTGTACGCGCACTCTGCGCTGCCACACAAACAAAAGGGCGACGGCACCTGTGTAGGACTTGAGAAAGATCTGCTGAGAGCCCTTCGGAGTTGATTTCCAGGCCCTGCCATGAGACTCCAGGTACCGTTGCTTCGTGCGCTTCTGGTTTTCAGGCAGCGTAAGAGAGCTTGTGGCAGCTCCAGGCCATCTCCTTCCCTCTGCCTATTTGCCCACGGTAAACAACACGCTGCGGTGCTGCCTTCGTCGGTACGAGCACGTCCCCATGTGCATCTTCCTCATTCACCATCAAACTGCCCTGTGCCTATCGAGCCTCACGACCACGCTGCCTCTTCCCTATTGAGGTACTTCTCTGAAAGTACCTCCTTTGAGGTACTTCTCTGAAAATCAGCAAAAGTAACTCTTGCTGTCAATAGATTTTTCAGGATATTTCTTCTCCCACCAAATCCAACCCAGCCTTGTATAAAAATCACTTTAAGGTTGCTGACACCGCAACTTAAAACTTGCCAGCGAGGCCCGTGCTGTCTAATCAGCTCCTGCTCAGTTGCTAACCCGCGAGCCTGCGGCAGCTCTAACTTCGAGGCTTTCCCTTCTCACGCTGCTCAGCTGCATCGGGTGGGGGTGTATCACCTCCTTGTCTAAAGGCCAAGACAACGAGATGGCTGCTTCGTGCCAGATTTCTTCTACTGCCCTAAAACTGAGCTAATAGTGTCTCTCCTCTCCTGTTTTAGTACTGCGCGCTGGGGGACAGGAGCTTGGATCCCCACAGATCACTACGAGGTGAAGAGAAACTTGCTGCTGGGGACAACATCAGAGAGAGGTGCAAGAAGCCTTGAGAAAGATTACCCTACCTCCTCCTCCTCCTTTCAGCGCACAGCCATGGCTGTATATAATTCCCTTGGCTCTGAGCCCAGCCGCAGGGAGTAAAAGCAAAGGCGGCTGCCATTAGCGCCAAGGAGAGACCGATGCCCAGCTCTGCCCTTTCTTTTCCTCCCGGCACCGAGAGCTGGGAAGCTGGGATGCATCCTCTCCCCTCGGCAGCAGGGAACTGGCAGCAGCCATCTTTAGTCACATTCCCTGCCTAAGTAGTAGGAAAAAAACCTTTTTAAGTGTCACTCGATAACTATTTTCACCATCCTTGTTCACGTACTGTCTCTGACAACTGCGTGTATACCCCTTTTTCACTGGTAAAGCAAGCAGTGAACACTGCAAGATATAAAGTCGCTGGAGTAGGGCGCAGTTACTGTTTAATTATGTGCTGCAACTCCTTTGGTCCTGAAGCGCCCCAGTTCAGCTCGCTGCAGCCGGAGTCTGGTTTTGTCTTTGTGGCCTTGCATTTAAATAGCTGATAGAAATTCTTCAAGCCTGAAAAGATACATGACCTGTCTGGCAGCAAAGAATGAAGAAAACTAACTCTTTTGAGCAAAAATGTCAGGGAGTTTATGGCAAATTTGTCAAATTTATTGTCAGATGACAAAATGTGACAAAACCAACTAGCTATTTAAAGGCTGTATTATCTCATAAACTGAGTGATGCAAGTATAAATAAATAAGTATTAATAAGTAGATATTTTTTACTGTTTGTATAAAGAAAAAAAGTTTTTACAAAGATTTTAACTCCCAATATTAACAAGAATGCATTCAGGCATTAAAAGAAAATACAACCACAGTTTTGCTGAAATTGAAAATATTCCCTTCAGGAGCCCACAGATCCCAGATATGATAGCAACTGCCTAAAATAAAACAAAAACGAAAAAATGAGAAAGAGGCAGAGCAAACGAAATAAAAAGGCAAAACTAATTCTGATTTTTATAAGTTCTTTCTGAGTTAATCCTGGGTAGAGTCCTGGACACACCAAATGCTCTTGTCCTCATGACACGCGGGTGTACAACCCGGCTGCACTGGCGGTCCGGCTGCAGAGCCAGAGGACCGAGACCCGTGGATAATCCTCGGTGTCCCGAGTCTGAGGTTTCATCACTTGCTCCCAAAGCTGATGCTGATCACACTGCACTGCTGTTCTAGACAGACATTGAGTCACACACTATGGAAGGTTTTATATGATCAAAGGCTAAATTATTGCGCTTGGACCTTACAAACTTCTCATAGACAGGATTTCACATTGGGAACAGTCACAGAGTAATGGAGAGTTCAGGTGGTGATTAAGCAGAAGCGTGTATCAGACATGACAACAATGATGAATCATTAACATGTAGGAAATACAAATTTTAAGTGTGAAGTGCTTGTGAGAGCAAAAGAAAATATGTCCTGTCTCGTACAGGGTGTATTTTTACTCACTGCGTTTTCAGTGTATCAAGCCTTAAGGCATCTCCCCTCCCTGCTCCCGAGGACTCCTTCCCACCCTGAACCCCAGCATACTGTACCCTCCGTTGTACCAGCACTGTGGTTTGAGCAAGGATCAGCACTAGCCAAGAAACAGCCAGACAAAATAAATAAATTAATGAATATCTAGTAGTAAAACGTAGCGTAGTCACATGCTGATAACTCTGTACCATGACAGGATATGGAAGCCTTTACAATCTTATTAGCAAAGAATGCAACTAAGGTGTATTTAATGGTGTTTTGAAGATGCACCTTTAAATACTCTATTGAGCGTTTAATTTTGCAAGGATCAAAAGTGAATTATAATGACGTGCACAACTATGTCCCTCGGCATATTATTTGTACGGTGCCTCAAACACTGAGCTGGGAAGGCAGGCCTGGGACTCCCCCAAATAGAGGCAAATGCATAAGAGCTGCTCAGGGGCAGGAGCTTTCAGGAACTATCAGGAAAGGGAGGAATTAACTGTTTTTTAAATATACCTTTGACAAATCATTTTGACACATTATCTCCTTCAGAAGGAAGGGTTTGCTCCTGGAAGAGACCTTTGAAAGGCTTTTCCCTACAGAGCCTCATTCGAGGTGAGAGAATACAGCAGAGGTGCCTGCATACTGCCAGTACATTTAATGAGATAATTACTCTGTCTTGTTTGTATAATGATTATTGGCTTAGCATATTTGCAGCCCAGAAAAGAAAGCATTCGTTGCTCCCACATGTGCATAGCTATAGCGAGAGCAGTGTGAGAGCCACCTGGGCTCCGCTCTGCGGCGGGGAAGAGGAGGTGGTCCTGATCACAGCCGGCACCGGCTTCTGCAGCTGCCGTCCTGCCAGGAGGGCTGCGAGTTGCTGCAGTATTAGCACAACCTGTAATCACAGCCTCTTCTGACCTTTGAGAGCCACCGTGTCCTGCTCAGCACCCAAGCAGGATGGCAAAAGCAGCTGGAGGGGCTGTGCTGCACAGCTGGGAGGTGAGCGTACCCAGAGCAGCTGGCTGCAGCCCTGTGGGTATGCATGTGTGTCCTGAAGGGAGATTAAGAGATTTTACGGGCAGAATGAAACTCTGTGGTCACCTAATCTGAGCTGCATTTTACCTCATTACCCTAAAGTGGTACTAACTGCACTGGTTTTCCCCAGTTACGCCATATCCTCTGATCTGGGCGTGGCCGTATCACTGGCATAATTGTGAATTGCCATTTCTTACTGAAATTGTATGGGATGAGAATCCTCATGTTCT